CGCGGGCTGCGCGCGGGCAGTCCTGGTCGCGCGGGCGGCTAACGGGCTGCGCGCGCGGTAAGCGGGCCGCGCGCGGGCGGCTAACGAACTGCGCGCGGGCAGCGCGAGAGAGAGGGCGCGCGAGGGCGCACGAGCAGAGAGAGGCGCACGAGGGCGCGAGGAAGGTAGGGCGCACGAGGGCGCTTCTAGCGGAACGGTGGGCCCTTAGCACTAAGCGGTCCTAGGTGCCTAACCTAGGCTCGTAATACCATGTCAGAATGAACAAGAGTGAATGCACTAGGAAAGTGGTGGGTACAAGTAGGAAAACCTAAACTTGCTGTACCCCATAGTAACTACCCCACTACAGCCTAAACAACTGTAGAGTATAAGTTTGACAGCTAGTTCTTGAACCTACCCTCAAGTGACAGTTGAGATAGAATCTGCAGCTTCGGGTGTAGGACCTAGGGATGATATTGTGAAACTTGATGTACCATATGATCAGGGCTGGCGTTAAAAATAAACTCTCCGATTTTTTATTTTTTATTTTAGTATGAGGCCATTTTTTCACAGACTTCCTACTCTGATTTTACAAGATACATAATGCAACATCAGACTATAACCATAGTAAGGGATCTACCAAAACGGTGCACGTCGCAGCGCGAAGTGACTTCACTGCTCCATCATGCACAACTTCCCGCCCTGATTGACACGATTTGCTGCTGCTCGCGATTTTCTGTTGCCCGCGATTTGCTTACTGCTGCTCGCAATTTGCTGCTGCTGCTGTTGCGAGATATGCTGAACTTGTGGCGCGACCTGCTGCTGGTCTGGCGCAACCTGCTACTGGGTGGCGGAACTGCTGCTGGGTGGCGAGATCTGCTGCTGGCAGGGTCGTGAGGTATGGATTCTTATTTCACATTCCATACCCTCTGTAGTCAAGACTCATTATCCGCTAAGTCAGTAGTCTTATAAGTTTAGTATTCGAAAATCTGACATCTCCGAAAAATCAGGATTACTAGGAAAAAAATGTATGAAATATTATACAATCATACTAAATAGTTTGATATCGTCAGCCATGCCTATAATCCTACTAATGAGACTATCTTTTGCTACTCGGAGCGGCAACAACCACTCCTCCTCGAGGTGGTATGCAAAGAACAGCGCCTCTAGGCGACGGTGGACAGTAAAACGTCTCACTCGGTGTGTGACCGTGGGACGTTGGAGAAAAGTGGGGAGTCCTACAAGGAGACCCAGTTCGCAGCAACCATGGTGGACGGTAGCAGGCTACCCATCCTTAGCAAGTGAACCATTCAACTATAGATAGGGGCACTACGGTGGAGACCAACGCTTCCTATCTCCAACATCAAGGGTTTATATTTCATGTTGGGGTGTGACTTCTTGAAGCGTCGATTGGGTCAATAAGAAAGTGAGTATCTACAACAACAGGAAACGAGTGGAGCTACAAAGTTGGACAGATACACGCGAGATTCCTCAAATGACACTCGCACGGTTTGAGAAAATGGTGAACGAGAGTAGCACGGGTTACCTGGCACTCGTGATGGCAGCAGAAGAAGAAAAACCGAACTTTGAGCTACCTGCAGGAGTACAGAAGTTCTTGGAGGAATCCAAAGACATCATGCTGTCAAACTGTTATTTGTTGTGTAGGCTGTAGTGGGGTACTCAACAGCGAGTACAACCCTTTTAGGGTTTCCTATATGTATCCCACCTGCCTGCTAGTTCAAACCCCTCTTCTTCATTCCTACTTCTTGCCTAGTTTCAACACATGCCACACGATTTATCTGCAGGAGTGCCACAGGAGCGGACTCACCAACATGACATCGTGGAGGAACCATGTTCAAAACTATCACAGGTCCAGGATGTGGAAATGTGTTGCAATGTAAGTTCTCAATCATGGGACGAAATTCTCAGGATGCTTCCAACATGGCAAGCAGGGAACGTTTCGGACGGGGGATTCTTTCCCCGTGACCAGGTTGTATGCACAATGGGCCGCAGATAGGTGCTGGCAGTCAATGCATCGCAGTGCCCTGCCAGCGCTGTTTGGAAAGGCCGCCGTTAGGCACGAAAGAGTGACGCTTGGCCCTTTTCAGGCCACCGCACTGTCAAGATGCCTATACGCGGCATGGTGACAATTTGTGGCCCCTTGGTGAAGTTCAGCGTTTTTGTAACGAATCTGTTTTGTCTGTCAAACAATATATGCATGTTTAGGTTATCTAGGCTGTATGGGGGTTAGCACTAGGGGGTACAATATTTCTCTCGACATTCTTCTTGTACCCCCCCCTTGACCTAATCACACATCACTTCCTAGTATTCTAACATGGTGATCATCAGCGCTTTTGTACTTTGTTGGGCCTTGTGTCTACGTTTCCACACTTGCTGTAGATTCTGCTTGTACTGTGATCTATACATATATACCTGCATGCTTGCTCTTGTTAGGTAGTGATCACTGTGCTATTGCTGCATATACATCTCTGCATGTGAACTGGCCTTGTGGCCTCTTGCTTGTGCTCAGAGTGTGTGGTGACTTTGTGATCCACCTTGAGCTGTGTTTTGTTTCTTCTCTTGACTGGTCTTGTGACCTTTGCTTGCTCTGGCTATCCCCCATTTCGCCTATGGGGGTGTGTCAAACAATATATGTATGTTTAGGTTATCTAGGCTGTATGGGGGTTAGCACTAGGGGGTACAATATTTCTCTCGACATTCTTCTTGTACCCCCCCCTTGACCTAATCACACATCACTTCCTAGTATTCTAACATTGTCGGCATTCTTGGAAAATAGGGGTCGGTAATAAATATGCCACTTGGTATTGTTCACCTAAACAATTTTCATAACATTTCTGATAAGACCCCCGGGTCCTATATATGTGAGGTTATGGTAATCAGCGTGTTTTACCCTTCAAACGAGGGCCCTGATGCCATAGCCAAGTAATCGTAACCTTGGCTGATTGATACTTAACCCAAAACCAACATGAGGGCCTGAATCCCGCACTTATCCCATGGAACTTGAATATGTATTAAATTACATTTCTTCCTATGGATTACCGTATTCTCCTGGATTACCGTATGATAGACCTCGTTTCTACTATACCCCCCTTTTTGGCTGATTTTCTATAACACCCCCCTTTTCTTATGGATTTAGGGTTATAGTCGTTAACGAGTAGCTGCAATACGGAAGAATATCGCGAGAATTTCTCCCTCGATGAAATTTCGCGGTACATTCACTTACACTCTGCCGAGATTTACCCCCTCCCACTAGTTCGCTGTCGCCACGTGCAGGTGAATCTTCCGCTGCAAGTGGCAAGAGAGGTGCCACATGGCATTTACGTAGGGGTGATGAAGTTCGCGGCCAAAACTCACATTCGCGCCTCAGACAGTGATGTGCGACGTTGTCTAATTAAAAAAACACTAACACTAAAATATGCCATATGTAAAGACCCGGGTATTATGTAATTTTTTCCTATGAGGAGACCCCCCCCATTTTTTCCCTGTATTTTTAGCTATACCCTAGGGTGTTATGTCCGGGAGAATACGGTACCCATCTATTGAATATTTCAGGGTATGCAGGGTCTTACACACAAACCTAGAGACGACTATGCGTGAGCATCAATCTCCACATTGTCAATGAGACGCACTGATCCGAAATGGGCTGCCACTGCCAGCACAGCGGGGCGAGTGATGTGCGAGATAGGCTCCAGACCCTCCTGCTCCACCAGCTGTCAAACCACAACATGCACACACAGCAGATTAGTTACACCAAGAACGGTCACACATGCACGGAGCTTTTGTGATAAGAGTAATGTAGCAAGTGTGCAGTGACATCCTGGCATGGTGGAGGGGGCTGGGAGGGAAGCAAGAAGCTGATGCTACCAGACAACACACACAGCCCCGTCACCATCCCATGCTGCTTCATCTCCATCCCATGCTGTTTCATCACCATCCCATGCTGCTTCATCTCCATCCCATGCTGTTTCATCACCATCCCATGCTGCTTCATCTCCATCCCATGCTGTTTCATCACCAACCCATGCTGCTTCATCTCCATCCCATCCCATGCCTATCTGCACATACTCCACTCGCCCCCCTGCCTCCTCAACCGTTTGCCTCACTCTCTCCACCACCGCGCTCGTCTCTGCCGCCTGTGCGTGCCCCTCGCCTCGCTTACTCTCGCCCGCACCACTGTGAGAACCCTCCACTGCTGCCTTGGCTGCCAGCAGGATTCTTCTCGCTCTATACCATGTGACAAGAGTAACTGAAGAATGAAAGTACAAACAAGATATATGCAAGCTCTAACTCTTAACCTAGTTCAAAGGCAATTCACCTAGACTACATCAATATATACTACAAAAATATAGTTTGACAGCATCGTCCAGTACCTATCGTGTCTGGGGGTGCCGGAGATGCAGCTGTGGAGGGTGCGGGTCCTGGGGCTACTAGAGTTGGTGCTGACGACTTTGGGGGTGCAGCAGCTGTGGGCGTTGAGGCCCCTCCTGTTAAGGACACGACTGCCTCGGGTCGGCGGCGTCGCCCTGCCTCACCCCGTGGCTTCCCGTCAGTTCCGAAGTTCCCTCCTCGTTCGCCTCTGTAGCTGGTCATTGCGGAGTCTGGGGGTGTTCCTACAGGAGGTACTGGAGGCACTGAGGGTGTTGTTGGTGGAGGCACTCGCTCTGGGGGTGCTGGAGCTGGAGGTGCTGCCTCTGTGGCACCTGCACAACCTACTCTACGTCACCTGACAGCTTCGTGAGTGGTACGCTAGTTGGGGTTGTCGGGGTGGCCGTAGTGGGAGTCGCTCTGGAGTGGGTAGTTCGGGAGCTTCTGGTAGTGGCCAGGTGCAGCTGCAGCGTCGTCCCCGCGAGGCTCTTTCGCCCCAGCAGCTTCGTGAGTGGTACGCTCAGAGTAGAGGGTCACTGAGTACTGCTCGCTGCCCGTACGTCATTCGCACAGGTGTCCTCATGGTCCTCCTCTCCTTCCCCCCTCTGCTCCCCCCTACCTCGTGCTCTTAAAAGGCCATGGAGGTAATCGAGGAGAAGGGGGCCATGCGGCAGTGGTCGCGCAGGCAGCACCGCGAGGGGCGCACGGTGGCACTGGTACCGACCATGGGGTATCTGCACGAGGGCCACCTGTCGCTCGTGCGCCTCGCCACCACGCTCGCAGATGTGGTGGCTGTGTCCATCTATGTCAACCCCTCGCAGTTCGCCCCTCATGAGGATCTCCTCTCCTACCCACGCGACCTCCCCCGCGATCTTGCGCTGCTCAAGGTACGGCTGGAGGCTTGCCCCCGAATCCCATTCTCCCTCCCCAACGTGCTTGCTGGGCCTCAAGGCACGCCCCTCCTCAAGGCACGCCACTCCTCAAGGCACGCCACTCCCCCGAACTCCATGCTCCCTCCTATTTACTGCCGCCCCCATCCGGTGCAACTGGAGGCGTGCTGGGCGAGTCGTGAGTTTCCAGTTCCTGTCCCTACCCGCGCTTCCTTGTTTGTTCACCCCTGACACAAGGCCAGAAAATGGAATAACTCATTTCTTGTCCTACCCCTTTTCGTGCACCTACCTCTTCCCTGTCAACTGCCCTCCCTCAGGATCTCCCAGTGGAAGCAGTGTTTACCCCTGCAGACCTCTACCTACGCCCTCTCTACGCGCCCCCCGACCAGCGCCACGCTGTCGCAGAGCCCCCTGCAGCAGCAGCGGCCTCCCCTGGCGGCACTGCAGAGAGCGCAGCAGTGGCGAGCGGAGCGGCGAGCGGAGCGGTGGTGGCGGGGCACGAGACGTGGGTGACGGTGGAGCGGCTGCAACGGCCGCTGTGTGGGGGTGGGCGGCCGGTGTTCTTCCGGGGGGTGGCGACGGTGGTGGTGAAGCTGCTGCACATCATTGAGCCCGATGTGGCCGTGTTCGGGAAGAAGGACTACCAGCAGTGGCGCCTCATCCAGCGCATGGTGAGTGGTAGACATGAGCAACGGGTGAACACCAAACATGTTCGCACGACAGTGCACGAACCCGAACTTTTTTGGGGATTTGGGGTGTTCGGGGTTCGTGATAGGGGGGCGAACATTGCATGTTCGGGGGGAACCCGAACATGTTCGAGGTTCGAGAGTGTGTTTCCAGGGGGGCAGCTCCTCCCCCGTCGCCCCCCATCCCCCCCCCTTCCGAACATCAAACATGTTCGGGGAACATTTTTGGCAAAAAAAAAAAAAACATGTTCGGTACGTCTCGAACATGTTCGCCCTTGTACTCATGTCTAGTGAGTGATGACGCCCGCCCACCCCGCCCCACATGGCCATAGGAGGTCCACGCTTGGGGCTGAGTCAGACCAGAGGGACAATGGGGCATGGCAGCAGCGCAAGTGGTGAATTCGAGGAGTGCATGCTGTCATGTTTATTGGCATCATCCCCAACTGTCCCCACATGCCCATGCGTGACCGCTGCTGTCCCATGTGCCCTGCTGTCCACCCTCCCACGACCCATGTGTGCTGTGGTGGTCCCCCAGGTGCGCGACATGAACATGGCATCATTCCATCCGCACCCCTTGCCATCATTCCCCTCGTACCCTCCTGATTGCTGTGGTGATCTGGTCCCCCAGGTGCGCCACCTTCACATGGCAGTGTACGTGGTGGGTGCGCCCCTCTTGAGTCCACTCACAACTCACCTGCCAACGCCCCCTGCCCTGACTGCTGTGCTGCGCTGGTCCCCCATGACTCCCCCAGGTGCGCGATCTGGACATGGCCGTGCAGGTGGTGGGCGCGCCGCTGCTGCGCGAAGCGGATGGGCTGGCCATGAGCAGCCGCAACGTGCGCCTCACCCCCCAGCACAGGCAGCAGGTGAGGCACGACCTACTATCATAATGCTTCAGTCCACATAATGCTACAGTGCACATAATGCTACAGTGCACATAATGCTACAGTGCACGTAGTGCTACAGTGCATATAATGCTACAGTGCATAAAATGCTACCGTGCACATAATGCTACAGTGCATATAATGCTACAGTGCACATAATGCTACAGTCCACATAATGCTTCAGTTCACATAATGTCACACACAGTCCACATTATGGAACCGTATCAAAGTATGTGACACACCCTCTTACCCCCTTCCTCCACCATCCCCCTTCCTCCACCATCCCCCTTCCTCCACCATACCCCTTCCTCCTCCACCATCCACTTTCCTCCTCCACCATCCCCTTCATCCTCGTCGACAGTTGGAGAGGGAGGAGTAGGAGAGGTTTGCGATGGCAGAGGAGGAGCCGCAGCTGTAGCAGCAGGTTCAGTTGCAGCCAAAGCAGGAGAGGGTAGAGGAGGAGCCACGACCGCAGCACCAGGCTCAGTTGCAGACACAGTAGGAGAGGGTAGAGGAGGAGCCATGACCGCACCAGCAGGTGCAGTTGCAGCCACAGCGGGAGAGGGTAGAGGAGGAGCCACTGCCACAGCAGTAGGTGCTGTTTCAGCCACAGCACGCGAGGGTAGAGGAGGAGCCACTTCCGGAGCCGCAGCAGCAGCAGCAGCAGCAGCAGCATCAGCAGCAGCAGCAGCATCAGCAGCAGCAGCAGCATCAGCAGCAGCAGGAGCAGTTGCAGCCGCAGCAGACGCCAGAGGAGGCGGAGCAGCAGTGACTGCGTGAAGTTCTTGACTACGCACATGCACGCTTCATTCGTGGTCCCCTCTTGTCTCCCCCTGTTCCTTCTGACCAGTCTCTTTCCTCGTCACCGTGGGCTCGTCGTGCTCCTCTCAGTCATGCTGTGTCCCAAGAGTCTCGCCCGTCTCGTTATCGTGCCGACGGTCCGTTTCACCTTGTTCTCCACTCTCGTGTTCAACCCCCGTCTGGCCTCCCATCACCTCCCGTGTCGTCCCTTCTTGTACCACACGCTCTGGCTTCCAACTCTCGTTGTACCGCCCGTCCTATTGACGCCCCTGAGGGGGATCCAGACGCCCTTGACATCCTGATCCCCCGCACTCACACGGAGGCGATCTCAGGACCCTGGGCCTTGTACTGTATAGCAGATGAGGAGGCAGAGATGGCATCTTATATGTCCACAGGCACGTACGTCGACGCCGTCCCGCCACCTGGGGCGAACGTCGTCAGTGGCATGTGGATCTGCAAGGTGAAGCGGTCGCCAGAAGCACCTCCGGTGTTCAAGGCGCGTTACGTGGCGCGAGGTTTCAGTCAGAGAGAGGGGGTGGACTTCTTTCATACGTTCTCCCCCACCCCGAAGATGACCACTCTCCGGGTGCTTCTGCACATTGCCGATAAGCGCGACTACGAGTTGCACTCCTTGGACTTCTCCACATCGTTCCTTCAGGGGAGCCTGCACGAGCAGATATGGCTGCGTCTTCCGCCTGGCTTCACTTGCACTTTCCCAGCTGGGACCCAGTGGCAGCTGCCTCGGCTGGTCTACGGCCTGCGCTAGGCTTCCCGCGAGTGGCACGACACGCTTCGCACGACTCTTGCGGCACTTGGTTTCTTTCCGTCGTCTGCTGACCCTAGGCTCTTCGTCCACCGCAGCTCGACCCCGTTCTTTGTTCTGGTCTACGTCGACGACCTGGTCTTCGCCACTCCCGACCGCACAGCACTGGCCTCCGTGAAGGAGAAACTGCAGAGGAGACACACTTGCACTGACCTTGGTGAGCTGCAGCGCTACCTTGGCCTGCAGATCACCAGGGACAAGGCAGCTCGCACCATTGCGTTGACGCAGGTCGAGCAGATCCTCACGCGGTTTCGCATCCTGTTCTCCAAGATACAACTCACCCCTCTTGCTGTGGATCATGGGCTCACGGCTCCACCTTCGGACGAGTCCTTAGAGTCCAGTGGTCCATATCCTGAGTTGGTGGGTTGTCTCATGTATCTGATGACCCGCACTCGCCCAAACCTAGTTTTCCCTCACAGCGTCTTGGCGCGCTTTGTTGCGCCTGGGAGTCATCGACCTTCTCACTAGTTGGCTGCTAAGAGGGTGGCGAAGTATGTGGCGAGCACATTCAGCATGGGACTTGTCCTTGGAAGGAAGCAGCCAGTTACACTCACAGGTCACTCGGACTCATCGCACGCGGACTGTGCCCAGACACTGAGGTCTACACAGGGTTACTGCTTCAGCCTTGGGACTGGAGCTGTTTCGTGGAGGTCGACTCGGGCGTTGTCCGTCGCTAGCTCCAGCTGTGAGGCAGAGGTGTGCGCTGCAGCCATGGTCGCGCAGGAGCTTTGTTGGTTGTCTTTCCTCCTCACCGACCTTGGTGAGCGGCCTCGCTCTCCCCCACTCTTGTTCGCTGACAACAGGTCTGCTATCCTATTGTGCTAGGAGCCTTGACTGGTTGGGAAGGGGAAGCACATCCAGCTTCGTTACTTCCTTCTGCGCGCGAGTTGCAGCAGTGTGGCCAGGCCCACGTGGTGCTGTGACCCTTGCTCACACACTGTGTGGTGACTTCGTGATCCACCAGATATGTGTTGCCTTCTATAGGACTACCATCACCTAGACCATGGGTGTGTGTCAAACCATATTTGTTATAGTTGTTTAGTGTAGGTGGTGTATTACTTTGTTAGTGCTAGGGTTGGGTTCAGTTCTTAGCACCTTCAGCCCCAAGCCCTCAGTGACTGAGATGGCCGTCTGGTTGTGCACGTGCAGCACGGTCGGCTTCCCAGCGTTGAGCAGCTGGAACTCGGCGAGGGGGAAGCAAACTCGGCGTGCCTCCTTGCCACCTTCGGTGGCCGCGATGTACTCTGACTCGGTCGCCGAGAGCGTCATGCACTTGATGCGCTGATCGTCTAGGAGATGGTGGCCCCACCAAAGACAAACAAATAGCCGTTCGTGCTGCTGCGATTCTGCTTCTTGCCAGTGTCGTCGGTGTCTGCGTGGCCGACCAGACGCAGCGACTCAGGTCCGCCGCCGAACTCCAGGGCGGTGTCATAGGTGTCGGCGAGGTAGTGCAGGCAGCGGTCGACCTCACACCAGTGATTGTCGCTCCACACCATCAGGCCGGACCTCAGCTTGCTGCACGCGAAGGCGATGCCCGGCCTCGTCGTGGTCGCCGCGGACTGCAGCGAGCCGACCTTCTGCCGATATTCCTCTTCTTCCCGCAACTAAGCCTCCTCTTCGTCGAACGTTAGCTCAGCATAGGCGTCGACAGAGACCGGCGTCTTCGGAATCCGTCCGGTCTGCTCCTCGTCGATGAAGCGCCTTCGCAGCTTGTCGACGTAGGTCTGCTGGTGGAGCCACAGATTCCTCGCCGGTCGGTCGCGCACGATCTCCAGCCCGAGATACTTCTCCACCGGACCGATCTCGCGCAGCTCGAAGGCGGCCTCTAGCAGCTCCTTCAGCTCCTTCGGCATCGCGGTGCTGCTGTTGGCGGCGAGCAGGTCGTCGACATAGACCAGCACCCAAAAGGCCACTCCGACGTCGCCGACCTTGAAGTACAGCGCCTCGTCGACCTGGCTCTTGCTCCAGCCGGGCCGATAAGCATGGCGTTGAGTGCCGAGTACCATAACAGCAGCGAGTGCTTCAGCTCGTACATGCACGCGGACGGTTCCGTCGTTGTAGTAGTCGGGCTGATGCATGTAAAGCATACGGTCCAGCTTGCTCTGAAAGAAGGCGTTCTTCATGTCAAGCTGCATCAGGTGCAAGTCGATGCTGAGAAACATCCTCAGCGTGACGTAGCTCCCAACCGGTGCGTACGTCTCGTTATCCACGTTGTGCACCTGCGTGAAGCCCTTCAAGACCAGGCGTGCCTTCTCGCGGGCGACCGTGTCATCGACATGGTACTTCGTTGTCAGCATCCAGCGATTATTCATCACATTGACACCGCGCGGACGCTCGACCAGCTCCCATGTGCCGTTGGCGATGAGGCTCCGGATCTCCTCGTCCATGGCGGCCTTTACCGCCTTGCCTTTCCAGCTCCCTTCACTATCATGTTGGCGATGTCCGAGCAGTGCCCTGGGTCGGCGTACATGTCAGGGTCGAGCTCTGGAAAGTCGACATTGGCCTGCGCGTCGTCGAGCTACGTGTTGTACGAGGTCGGCGGCTTGCAGGCGTGGTAGCTCAGCTTCTCGCGAGGCTTGCCAAAGGTGGGGCGAGTGGAATGTCGCTGCTTCGGCTCGTCGGCTTTGATTTCCACCATGTCGCTGTCAGTGGACAGCTCCCCTTCATTGTCTCTGGGTTCACCAACGACTTCCATAACGTCGCTAGACGAGTCGTCGACGAGCTGCTCCCCTGTCGTCCGCCTGGGTGCAGACGACTCCCCTGAGGTTGGCTTCACAGCTGCCGACTCCCCTCAAGTCGACTCCGCCACGCCGACTTTTCCCGAAGTCGACTTCCCGGAGGTCGGCTGCTTCCCGTCATTGCGGACCTTCACAGCGTAACGTCGGCCACTGGCGATGCAACCAATTGGCGCCACAGGCGACACACCAATGCTCCCCTCATCGCTGGTGGCCGACTTGGATGTCAGCCCAGGAGGGCCGATGACGGGAGTTGAAGGGGAGGGCGATGGGGTCGCCGTCGGGGTACAACGGGAAGAGGGGGAGGATGGGGTGGGTCGTCCGTGGTGTCCTCGTCATCAGGCTCGCCGTCCGCGGCGAGCTATGGGAGTGTCGCCGAGGAGGGATCCGTTGGCGGGGTAGCCTGCATCCTTGCCGAAGTTGACCCATGGTTCTCCTTCTACACCTCCAGCAACAATGTTTCGTAGAAGATCGCATCCACCGCGGTGACGACCATGTTGTCAGTGAGGTCGAGCACCTCCCAGCCCTTGCTCTCCGGTGACACACTGGAGTGAAGGCCCCACCGGGCCTTTGGCTCTAGCTTTCTACCGCGCTGCTGCTCGGGGACCATAAACTGCACCATGCAACCCCGCACGTGCGCCAGCGTG